TGGTCATTGGTCAATAACTGTAATGTACAGTGTACTATATGTCCTTATGTTTGCATGTGTCCAAGAGTAGATCCACTGTTCTCTGTCAAGGCATAGATGGACAAGCTTGTTAAGATGGGAACAGAGAAAAGACAGAGAAGAGCAGAGTTAGAGAGAAAAAGACAATAAGAAAGTGAGACAGAAAAAGTAGGAGAGAGTGAGAGAAATTTCCGCATTATGCCAACAGTGTTGGCAGGCAGCCTGAAAGAGAGCAGAGAGGCTGAACTAGAGGCTCACTTACACACACACACACAAACCTGCTCTTCCTTATATGCTTATAAGCTTACTTACGTACTAATATATGTGCATGCAGCTGCAGATCAAGCCTGTGTTTGTAGAGCGTACATGCAAGAGGATATATGGGCTGAATGACTAAAGATCCAATCCTATTAGTCCTGATAACAGTCTGCTTCTGCTGAGGGCAGTCTGACCACATCTCGCTACAGCTGCTCACCTCGCTCATCTCACACTGTTGATAAGTCACGCACAAAGACAAAGAACACCACAAAAGAACAGAAGTACGTAAAATTCAAGGTTGGTGGGAAGAACACCTCGTCGCAGGTCACCGCGGTTGCCGCCGTGGTGATTAGGCTGCGCACCTGCGTAGCTATTCATATGTTTTACAGCCATTGTAACAGACCTGCAAAGAACAGATTGTCATATACCACTCAGACCTGACAGAAATACTTTGATGGATGGACCAAAACTTCACATGCCTAATTTTAGTAGAAGCTCATAAAAATACACTGTAAAAAAAAATACATGGAAATATTAAGAAGATTACAAAAATATCCTGTGAATTTAGTCTAATGTAAAATGAAATGACAAATCTGTTACTATAAATAATCATTTTCTTACAGTACATGTGTAGATATCTTTAAACCTTAAAAAGTCAATAAATTACACAATATTTGATATATTTGATTGACAATTTTTTGTTATTTTACAGGTATTTTTTGTGTATGAATGACTGCCAGGAGTGACTTAGTTTTGTTAGGTTGTATCTAAAATACAGCAGACTGTCACTTTCACTTTATAAATGCCAAGACTAACTGAATTGTGCAGGCTAACTTCCCATGTTTAAATGAAACTTTAATCCACTGTAGGAAATTCATTTTGTAAACAACTGCATCAACAAAGACAGTATGCATATATTAATGTATGAATACTGAGTAACGTTGCAACAAAAAGTGAGTGGGATCCAATCTGTCTGTGAAACATCAGGGCAAAGTATTCTGCCATCACAGGCCAGCTGGGGCAGCCTGTCAGCACATTTTTTTAATATTGTAATATTCTTTAGGGACTTCAACAGAACATCACTGCTAAGCAAAGTCAAGTATCCTGTCGTAAAGGATGCCAAACTTCTCTGCCTCTGGTTCACGTCCTCTAATATGTAATCAGTATAGTGAATATGAATTATATTTTGAAAATGTCCTGCTGTGTGTACCTGCACAGCAACAGTTATATAAAGACTTCATAGGCGTGATTTATCCTTACTGTACTAATAGACTAAGTAGGCAGTGATATAGATTTAATATGCAAAGTGGGTAAACCAAGACCTCCAACTGGTCATCAATGCAAGGCAATAAACAACCACATCTATAAACATTTTATTGCCAGAAAAGAATCAATTTGTGTTTTTTTTTTTTTTTTGCCTTTTCCTGCCTTTGTTTGATACAGACAGCTGAAGACAAGAAAGGTGGGTAGAGAGAGAGGGGATGACATGCAGCAAAGGGCCACAGGTCAGATTCGAACCCGGGCCCCTGCAGCAACTCCGTATATGGGTCACCAGTTCTATCGACTGAGCTAACCGGGCACCCCAATTTGTGGTTTTATATTCTTATGTAATACACCAATTTGACGTTGCGTGTTTAGGTTTAAGTCAGGATAAAATTTAGTGTAAACTCTATTCCTTTCAATAAAAGTGGTTGATATTTTGTAATAGTTTGAGAGCTCTGGTTTTGAGTAAGCTCATTATTTATCTGCATATGTTTTTTATGTTCACTGAGCTTGTTAGAACTGATCACAGGAAAAGTAAATGTGAATTCTGTCTCGGCTGACGGAACTGAAACGCACAGTAAATGAACCATTTCTGAAAGAAAATGAGCCTTTTTGTTGTGCATTAGTTTCCAGTGTGAGCTATGGTGTTATCCACCAGAGTGAGCGCTACAGTAATTCATGACCAAAGACTTGTGGTTTAGCCGGGTTGGCTGGCACAAATAAACAAGGAGCCAAGAGCCACCAGAAGGCAAAGATAATGATCCTTACTAGCTTCTTTGTTATTATATCTCTTAATGTTGAATTTCTCATGAGTTGAAATAAATAAACTG